TAAGCTGAACTTTAGGGTCCTAATTTTTTTTAAAAGAGGTTCTAAAAATTTTACAATAATGCTAATTGCACTTAATTTGAGGATTAAGTACATTAGATAAATTGTGAATTTTTTTTAAACTTAGCATTCACTTTTAATTCAATAATTAAAATATATTAAGTATTTAAATTATATTTTACAATAATCATTATTTATTTATTTGGGGCCCAAATTGAAAGAGACAATGGCCTAAGTGGCCTAAAGGTAGGGCCGGCACTGCTGAATAGGAAACAGCGAATAAACTACAAGAAGAAAAATGGTTGGCAAAGCAACAAACACGTCATTTTGGGCCATAATCTTGTTATCACGAGGGCCGGCTGGTTCTATAAAACTTGATGCTGTTGATGGGAGGTTTAAAGGATGACTTGTCATTATGTGTTAAAAAATTGTCGGATGGATGGACAGAATAGAAGTGCAAATAAAGATGGAATTTTGGACTGGAACTTGGAAGTGCCGCTAATCCATTGTTATAAGATCAAAATGGCGATAAGTTCTAAGCTAATGTTTATCCCGTTAAATTTTTAAGTTAAAATAATATTACTCTTTACAAATATGAACTTTTGCATTGAAAAAATTTCTCGACAAAAAAAGATTGACTTTGACTTAATAACTGAGATTAAAGAATGCAGCCGGCCCAACTCACTCTGATGGGATATTTTTAATCTAGCAGATGCCTCAAATTAAAGAATATTGAACCCCCATCACCATCACCATCACCATCACCTAAGTACCACTCCTGCCTCCACCAACATCGCTGATGGTGGTCTGTGTGTGGTGGTGGTGGTGGTGGTGGTGGCGGTGGCGGTGGTGAAGTGGTAGTAGAGAGGTGGAGGAAAAAGGGCAAAGTAAGAAAGTAAAGGATTGTTTGGATGGATTTTTGGGAGGGTCTGAATTAGCTTCTCCAAACTCAAACCCCTCTTTACAACTATGAGATTCAATATTGAATTTAGTTTATACTCATGTTTGGTATGCAATACATACATATGTAGGATTAACAGATATATCATAATTATTAACAACTATTTATCATATAAATGACTATTTTGTCTTTTGATCAATTCAATTCATACTTATATTAAGAAGTATAATTATTTTTTGCATCCTTCATCCTTTAACCCATCTTTCTAAATATATCACCCTAGGTTTGACGAAACCCATAATCATGGGTTTAGCATCCGTGCTAGTTGCGGGTCAATTTTGAGAACTCAAGATTAAATTTTTATCCCCAAACATGTGGTTTGAGAATCACCAATACCCCAGACCCACAAAACAAACGGGGCCTAGTTGTTTTCAAATTTCGGTTGATTATATTGGTCAAAGAATTTGGAGACTAGGTCACATCAAATTTCTAGTTGTGCCCATGCAAAAGGTAAAGTCTTACCAGATCCATCTCCCTTCCTTCAGAGTTGTAAAATACTGAAGTTTCTGTAGGTCAAAACAACTATTAGCCATCCATAACTATGTGGTAATTAAGATCCGATCCAATTTGAATCAAATTAAGTTGATCGACCACCTATTGATCATTCGGTCTGTAGGTCAACTAACTAACCTAACCTAGTGAAAAAATTCAATGAAATCTCCAATAAGCTTCAAATCTTCAATTGTCAATCACAAATCTAGGCTAATATTATTTTTTCATGTATGCATCTAATATAACTATCCCAACACTAAAAATCCCAACATAACCTAATTCTCTAACTGAGTGATATGACAATGGACATGGTCCAATAGAATTATCGTAATCACAACTGTTGGACTTCTTCAACGGAACCATGTTAGGTCACGATATAAGATCATATTTTTAGGTTTAAAAGAACATTATTCCTTACAATAAAACTGGCAAAATTCTAATAGATCAAACCATGGGGAGGCATTGATCATGTGTATTATTTACTCGGGCTGATTAGTTAAGGTTTGGTAGATAACTGTTATAATACACCAACAGTCCTTTCATCCACGGAATTATAATTCGTGATATTTTTTTATTAAGAAATTGAAAACAAGAGTGATAGGTTATTGGGGAGTAGAGGGTGGTTATGAATGACATATAATAGCTGACACATAATTGCTTCGAGTCGAGAGAATATTAGGGTCTGAATTGAAAAATTTTTAAATCTAAGACTTTAAGAAATGGAGAGGAAATACTTCTCAACTCCTCTATCCTCTAAATTGTTTGTTGTATATATATATATATATATATATATACATACTAGTGTTGATTATGTGCGGGCAAGTATAAAATTGGAATATATTCGTCTCTTCTCACAATTAAAGCAAAATCAAGTGAAACTCAAAAATAAGAGAATACATCTTATAGAATGGATCCAGAAAATACATAGTACATATATCCGAGTAAAGATATTGAAAAGATACACACTACATATACCGTTTTCTTTAACTTGAGTCTAAAGTATATATTTAGGTTGTGAGTTTATGGTATCTCGACAATGTGACACTGTCAGATCAAGAAAGAGAAAGATGGGCTATGCGGTGGAGTGCGAAAAAAAAAAGTGAGCAGGCAAGGTGGTGGAGAGGAAAAAAGAATTTGAGATGGAGTGGTTAAATAACTTCATAGAGATATTAGCAAACAGTTGAGTGAAGATGGGACAATAAGACTATTTTCAATAGAAACTCAAATCCTTACTTAAATTTAAGTCAAAATTTTGATTTAGTATAGACTTCTCCAAAGGAGAAATTTAAATTTAAAGGAAGAGAAACTCAAATTTAAATAAGGACAAACTCAAATTTAAAAAAACATAAAATATAACTATTGAATCTTTAATAGATAGTAAAATCTCACCATTAAAATCTTGGGTACAAACTTAAGTCTCTCTTGATTTGGATTTTAAAAAAAAAGTTCCTTTCATTTGGTATGAGTATGAGTGTAGCATTAAAGAAGCATTTTAAATCATTTTTAACCAAATTTAAATTTCGGTACAAAAAACTGGTGAAGGTTAGAGATACTCTAAGATGGATATTAGAGGAATTTAAAAAGATATACTAGTGTTAGTTATTGATTAGAGTTTTGTTAATTAAGAAAATCAAAATTTTGTAAAAAAAGTAAAGAGTGAAGGAAGGAAGCAGATTGAGTTTAGCAACAATTTGATTGTTGATTGTTTTATAAGATAACTAGTAGCCGGCCCCGTGCGAGGCACTGGATTATAATTTGTGTTGTTTTAATTTTTTTATTTTAGTACTTGTGAAGTTAAATAAATAATTATATATAATTTTTTGGTTGATAAAAAGTGATTTTGTTGAAAAATTTTAAAAAATAATCTTTAGTTATTAAAGAGTTCGTGGGTAGTAGAAGGAATCTAAATCCAAGAAAAAAGAAAGTGGAAGGAAAGACTTTTCAAGTCACCTCTCACTTAATTTGATTTTTTTATATACATAAATAGATAAGAAGTGAGACAGACAGATTAGTTTCTCAATGAAGCCGATCTCTAGCGCCTTGGCTGGCATCACATGGTTAGTTTATCATGGTTTATGGGAGATTTATTAGCGATCTTCATCACATGGTAGAGATTTATGTAAAGAGTAAAATTATTTGGACCTAAAAATTTGATCAAATTTGTTGACATAATGATGTGACTTCAGCAAAATCATTGGATCAACACCAAGTTCCAATGTTTAATGGACTCCACAGTCAATCCAAAGATTATAATGAATTAGGTCAACAAATTATGTTAGTAAATTATAGTCAACAAGTGCTAGCCTAGAATGAGCAAGAAATAACATTTGTATAAGAGAAATTTATACTTAGACGCCCTAAACTATCTTCCTTGTTTTATATTGCATCTGAAACTATTTTATCGTTTACATTGCACTTTAAACTATTAGTTAGAATTTCACATTGCCCCGACTTTTGTCCTATTTTTAATTGCTAATTAGGACAATAATGGAATTCTACCCAGTTGAGAAGAGAAAAACTGCATCGTCTAATATTGTGAGATTATGCTTTTGTCCTGATATATTGTGAAAATTGGACAAACGTCAACAATTAGGCCAATATCAAAGTCAGACCAACAGTTGAAGGTATAGTGTGAAAAATTTGACAGTTTAGAGACTATTATGAAATAGAAGACATTTCTAAGGTGTCTAAGTGTAATTTGCCCTATTTTTAACTCATAGACTGTAGACTGCCCATGTTACGTGATGTTGTAACAATGGGGAATAAGGCTAGGCTGGCTGAAGAATTTACACTAAAATTGGAATCAAATAATGTGACACTAACTTGTGGTGTGTTTGGATGCATTTTTACTTATTTAAAATTCAAACTATCCTCTCACTGTTCTGTGTGATATCATTTCATTCATTTTCTCAGTCCCATTTTGTTAGATCCTATTTGTTCATCAATCTAATATTACCGTGATTAGAAATCATGTTAGGTCAGTCAAGACTTTCATATCAATTGATGCAATGGTAAATTAAAAAAAAAAGTACAAAGAACAAAAACACTCTGAATTTACAGAAAAAATGAAGAGAAAACTCTCAAAATATGATTTATTCAATTAACTGATTAAAACTTGGAGTACAGGGGGAAATTTATAGGCATTCCCAAATCCTTAAAGGTTTCTAAAACAAACCTAAATCCCTAATCTTAGAAAAGTTACTAGAAACAAATAAAATACGTCTAAATGGAATTAAAAAAATTAAAATAACTCTAAATATTCCTAAATAACTCTCATTCTGAATAAATACTAAAAATAAAATAGAATAATTACAAATTTTCGTTTAACATCATACATCCCACATCATGGAACCATAAAGAGCATTGAAATTATTTATTAAATCACTCCATATTACAAGAACCATACAATGTCTTTGGTTGTTCAACAAAACAAACCCATGGGGTCAACCCACTCTATAAAATGCAGTTATACACGAAAGGAATAAGTAAAATAATAGTATCCAGGAGGTGTTTTCTAGTCTTGAACCATGTAGAGTAGGTCGCCTGCAATTTATCGATACATTCCCCCTTGAACTGCTGGTGCCATTGCCACTCCAGCATTCTGTCTCTCCATATTTCCATGCCACCCTAAACAATAAAAAGCCCATCAATAGAAGTTAGAGATATGCATATAGATTGAGTTTTTGATCATATTATGGTTTTTTCTATTTTTTTTTTTGTTCAACAGTCAAAGGTATTCAAACTAGCTTACATTTACTTCTATTAATCCCTTTTTCGATTCAGTCAAAGACAGATTATTCATGAGGAAGAGAGAGAGGTTTACCAAGGGACATGTCGAATCCACGGTTTTGAAGCTCACGGTGCTCTTGGCATATGGCACATGGTCCACAGCAGCAATGCACTAGAAAATCGCCGCAAGGGCTTTCGGGCAACATGTACTGTCGCCTCAGCTTGGAACGGTAGACGCAAGAGTAAATGCATCCACAACCAGTGAGAATTTGTATCAGAGCATATAATGCTCCACTTACACCACAAGCTGCAATACCACATTTAGAATGAATTAATCATTCAAAATCAATGACCAAAAATAAATAAAAATTATTCAGCATAGTTAACAATCTCTTCTGCTTACAGGATGATCCTTTATCAGCAATCTCTGCAATTTGTCCAAAACTAATGCATGGACACCAACATGTTAAACAACCTGCGAAAAGAAATTAAATGAGTGTATATAATTTCAGGTTAGATGTAGGGAGTAAGTCCAGACAAGAAAAAAATCAAAAAAATAAAAAGTGCAAAAGTAGGCACTAGGAAGATCATTTGAGATTATATACTTACTATTGGTGAAATTACAATACTTGAGAAGCAATTACAAAGAAATAAAGAAAAAAACACACAAAAGAATTCAGATGTACCAACACTTACAGTTTGGGACATCGGAGAAACAGTCACAGAGACCGGTCGACCACTGGGCAGGAGTACTGGGAAGAACTTGAGGTGGTCCTTGGAAGTTGTCATTAGGGTAGTAGTTGGCGGACTTCACCGGAAAGCCAGTTGTTGGCTGGCCATACATTGGCGGTGCTGTTGGTGGTGGAGACTTTGTGGCCGTGGAATACATGATTATTCTTCCAATAGATCAAAGAGAATAGAAGGTTTGGGGTTGTTCGGAGAGAGATGTTTTTTGGGTTTGCATATGCATAGCATTTCATGCACATATATATACACACACGCACATTGATTAGGAAAGAGTCAATGTTCAATAATCACTACTAAAAAAATAATCTTCCCGCGTTTGAGTTTTTTCCATGAATCTTTCGTCTCCCAGCTATGGCCTGTCTCGATTCTCTCACTAAGCACGGAAATTTAGATTGTCAATTTTGATCAAATGAGTTGTGAGAATCATTGGTAAAACACGAACCACCTGTAACTTGATTGATACAATTAAATTCTGATTATACAATTCTCATCACAAAATCAATTTGTTTCAAAGAACTTGTTAAACCACCCTTTATTTTATAAGTTTAAGGTGTTAGAGATATTATAACTTAAATGTTTATAATTTAACACGTCCCTCATGTGCAGAAATTTTAGTTCTAACATGTAAAATTTTTTTAAAAACTGTAGTAGCGAGTTTCAATATAAGACCACCCCTAAGCTTATTGAATATTTGGTTAATAAATGTAAATACAATGTACCAAACCATATATATTTGGTCAACTCTTCCAAATGATTAAATAGTGTTCGATTTCAACTTGCTTTGTGATAGAAATCGTACTTCGTAAGCATCAAAGAAACTGTCAAACAAATTATTTGATTGGATCTACCTAGATGATTAAACACTTACAAAAACACCTGATCAAGTCGTACCTAACTTTATACTCACGAATAAGAAATGTTTTGTAAAAAAAATTTGTACCCATGCATTCTTGCTTATAGAAAGATCTGGAAGAAGTAGATGGTAAAGAATCTAAGATTGAATCCCAAACTAAAAGTTGTGCTGTGTCGTTTGGCGGGATGTTGGATTCAGATCTTTTCATTACACATTACTCACTATCTATGTCCGTTATTTCCTCATAGTGGCTGGGTCCCACTTGAAACTATGATATGTGATTTACTAATTATTAAAAATGAACAAAATGTAATGAAAAAGTTCTTAATTTGATAATCCGATAGATATTTGTTTATCTAGGTGTTATCTCCTTAAAAAAATGTATTCTCTAATTTTTGCAAATTTTTTTCACAAGATGGAGATAGTAAATATCTGAGTAGGGGATATGAACTCAACACGATGCCCTTCCTCTGAAATGCCAGGCTCTGCCTAACGGCGTCATTGAGCTTCACGAGCACAATCACTCAGGGGAAAATCACCAAAGGAGACATCTAGGGGAGCACACTGAAGATGAAGCCCACAGTCGGGGCAAATCCGCCTATCGAGAAGACAGACCCCTTCCCCCGCCAGATGCCATAGATCATTTATTAGAGCAAAGATTTCACGAGCACCAATGAGAGCTGGGTAACATGAAAGAAGTGGTTAAGGGGAAGACCCCCGACACTATGGACGCTTTGGTCCAGCAAACTAAGTCACCGTTCGCTCTCAAGATCTTTGATTTTCCTCTCCCCTAGAAATTCTAGATGCCTTCAATAGAGGTGTTCAACAAAACCAAAGATCCAATTGATCACCTAAACTCCTATAAAAATTAGATGGAACTCTAGGGGTACCCAGACCCCATTCACTGTCGAGCTTTTGTCATCACCCTTAAGGGGTCGATAATTGCTTGGTTTAACAAGTTGCAACCAACATCGATCTCCTCCTTCAGGGAGCTATCTATAAATTTTGTATCACACTTCATCGGAGCAAGGACATATAAGAAGCCATCCTACCATTTGCTGAGCGTCAGACAAAGGCCCAACGAGTCTCTCCGAAGCTATGTACAATGCTTCAATCAAAAATGCCTAAAGGTGGAAAGTGTGGAAGACAAGTTCGCACTGACCACTTTTATGTCTGGGCTCGGAGTTCAATCCAAAGACCTCCTCTTCTTAATCGCAAAAAACCCTCCAACCACAATGGCCGAGGTACTGGCAAAAGCTGAAAAGTGCATCAACGGGGAGGAGGCCCTTCATCTAAAAGGAGGTTTGACGTCGGTAGAAGGAGACAATAAGAAGAGGGAATGTAGTTGCAGAAAGGAGAGAAAAAATGATCGGTCCCCTAGAAGAGGCCATTCTCCGAGGAAAAGAAGAGAACCTTCTCCTAACAAAAGAGGCAACGTCAGAGACCACCTGGGATCCCCACTGCAAGAGTTATAGCCCCGATATGCTCCAGCGTGACTCCCGCCCTCCTTAGAGCAACCACTAGTGGAGGCTGCGGAAACCTCCTCGTCACCCTGTTCCTCGAACTCAAATTTGGAAGAAGAGACGACAACTTTCCCCATCAATAGCTCAGTTCGCAAACTAGTATAAAATGAAGGAAAATGCAAGACGCAATCCGTTCAAAACAAGGGATTTAAGCACCGGGACCTAAAGAAAGATAGCTTTGACAACAAAGAGCGGTCTACAAATTGCGAAAGGGAAGAAAATCATTAGAATAACTCCTGAAGTAGCTAAAACGCCAGACCAGAAAACGGAACCTAAAGCCCCACCAGAGAAGGTTGAAGGAATCCAGATAGAGCAAAAAGAAGGGAAAGAGATGTACCAAATTCAAATGCTAGAAGCACAATGGGATCGAAAATACATAAACCCTTAGATCACCGAAGAGCTGGGGACAAGACGCCTCAAAGCCAACCGAAGGAAGAAGGCATGAAAGGATGTGAATTCAAAAAAGCCAAATGGGAAAGACGAGGGGACTTTTTCCTTTTTATACATAGCATTTAATTCATGAAAGAACGTGCAAAATGAGCCGTACTAGCAGGTTTTTCTATGCATGACACGTTTACATAACCGTCTCGTTATAGCCAATGTAGGTTAACTAAAGCACAACGCAGGACAAAGCCAGCGATCAGGTGTAACCGCCACTTAAGGAAACCGTGCTAGATCCAAAAAAGACATTTTTAACCCCAGGTTAGAGTTGACGTCACCCTCATAACCTGGGACTAGGGGGCAACTGATAATGACAGAATTTTGAGTATGGACCCTTGCAATCAAATAGCCCAATGAGCCCAAGAAACCATTGATTGCGTAATGGTTCAAATGGAGGGCCCACAGTTTGCCCACCCCAAGAGCAGAATTTGCAAAGCCTAAAGGGAAAGGCCCAACGGTACCAGAGAATCTGAACTCCAGCCCAGACCCAGTCCAACTCAGCCATATGTCAGCTCGGGTAGGGGAGCTCAGCCCAACGCTCGTCCAAAAATACCCTTGTCGCACCACGTGTTTTAAGGACAAGAGGACCACTTCTGACACCCATAACCAACACGCACTCCCTGGCATAGAGAGTGTTTGTGCACATAGCCGTCCAGAGATCATGGGAATAGTGGCGTCGTGTGCCAGAGGTCACTATAGGACAAAGGTGGGGGGCCCACAGAATCAATAAGAAGGAAGAAAGAGCCTCAAGAAAGTCCAAAACAATCACCTATATAAATAAGACACTATTACGCTACAGGAAGGGATGATCTCCTACATTGGCACTCTTAAGACATCAATACAATCTAGCCTATTTTGCACATAGTTCTTGTAAAGGCCCCCAAGCCAGTTATACCCTTGTAGTTACTGAAAATCAAGTAATATACTAACTTGAGGAGCAAGAGACTTCTTTACAGTTGACGTAGCTTTAGTATTTCAGTTAAGGTGAACCACTTACGCTGTGCTCTGATTTTGTCTTTATCGTTCTATCATTTGCCATCCATTATATAAGTCATGTGCTCTTTCTGGGCCATCATGGTAAGCTATTGAACTTGGGTTAGCAAATCCGGCCACCATCAAAGACAAATTAGGGTGATAGAAGAATTATGAAAATTTAGGGTAGTAAAACCTTTTTTTTTTTTTGGTAAAATTCAAATTAGTGGGTGAATTTTTTTTAAAAAAATTAATTGAATGGTAATTAGTTAGTGGGACAGAGGGATAGTTCTACAGGACAAGTGCTAGAATATAATTGGTTAATAACATGCGTAGTAACTAAATAATTAAAAATTCTAAGAAAAAAATGAAAGTGAAAGGGAATACTTTTCAGACCACCTTCCACCTAATATGATAATTGATTGCTTTATAATAAATAATAAAAAAAACAAAAGATGACAAGTTGACTTTTTGAGCCTAGTAAACATGAGCCACCCACAATTTTTATCAGTTTTGTTAGATCTGTTGATATCTACTAGTTTAGTGTTAGTTTTGTACTGGGATTAGTTTAAAAAAATAAAGAGCAATAATACGGCGTGCTTAGGCAGGGGACAGATAAAAGAAATTAGGTATCATTTGGTAACACTTTTCTTAAGCAAGCTTTTTTAAGCAGAAAACAATTTTGTCAAAAAAAGTAAAAGCATGTGTAATTTCTACGTTAGAGCTAGTGCCTAAAATAGCTAATCTTATACAACAGTTTTATACAATATACCCAATTTATGTTTAATTACAAATTGATGCTGAAAAATTAACTGTTTGACTAATTAGTTAATCCATAAAAACCCAAAAATCAATGGAGTTAACTCATCACTTAGCTCTTCCTCCTAACCACAGTACCCCATATACCATGTGCTATGCTGATCAAAAAACTACATAATGAATTAGGTCAAGAAATTAGATTAATCTTTCTTTCTTTCTTTTTTGAATAGGCTATCTAACCAGATTCAGGAAGCATTATTCTATTTTTCCTGATCAAACAGAAAAGAAATGTTTCAATTACCACTTACAGAAGTTGAAAGAAGTTCTACCCAAAAAGAAAAAAAAACAATGACTATATTAAGGATCAATAATGCTATATTTTTTTTGTACAATGTTAACTGATAAAAACATAGTGAGCAGTATCAATGGTGTGCACATTGACTCAAATATTATGTAGATGAAAGGGTAAGACTAGGGTGCCGAAGAGGTCTTTTTGCTAGCATGTCAAAAGTTGATTCAAAATAGAGGTGATGCCAACACTCAATCGGCATAAACAGGAAGATGATGTTGTTTGGAACCAATCCTATCCTAATATGTTTGATACAACCTAACATTTTGGGATTAGAGTTCAAACTGTTTTGAGTCGCGATTTAATCTCAAAAAATCAAAATAAACGTTCTGAAACACAACACAACTTAACCTCAAATGATTTATAATTAACTGTGTTTATTTCTAATTTTTGTCAAAGTCAGTATCATATTTTTATTCTATATGAAAATTCCAATGCACATGCTTTCAATATGAGCCATACACAATAGAAGGTACATATTTGTCAATAGCATTGTGCAACAAACTAAAAGCTTTATTCAGTATAATTCAAGTACATTAGATGCAAGATAAACATGAGTACAATTTTGATATCAAATCATGTACGATACGGAAATTTATCAAGTTAATTTTGCGAAGTGATATGTAGATATTTCCCTCTAACGTGCCATGCCCTTTTCGACGACCGGAGCCATAGCCACTCCTCCAGTTTGTCTTGCAGCATTTGCTCTCCATCCTGCATAGAATTCAAGACCACGTACCATTAGGTACCCATCTCTAACGAAAACTTGTGATTTGATTTGGTTATAACACAGATTCATTTACATACTTAAGTTGTATGTGATTGAAACAGAGATAGAGAGACTCTAACTCTGACCTATGGACATGTCGAAGCCACGGTTTTGAAGCTCACGGTACTCTTGACACAAGGCACATGGTCCGCAACACCAGTGAACTAAGCAGTCATTGCAGGGAGTCTTCTTTAAGCCATACTGGTTCCACAGCTGAGAACGATAACCGCAAGTGTAGAGCCATGAACAACCAAGGTGTATACCAACGATCGTGCAAACTATTGCGCTTGAGCAACAAGCTGCCACAAACACACTACTACTACAATCTGAGCTCATGTATGATTAGAATTATTAAATTGAACCCAAAAACTTCAGTTCTAACTTCTAACTTGAAATAGTTTGTATCAATCTTTGTATATGAGCTTAACTTGGGTTGGATCACTTACTAGCGAGGAGCGTGCCACTGTTTGAATCAGGGCTCATACGTAATTGGGATCGAAACAAATTCAAAAACTTAAGCTCAAAAATTGAGAATAGTTTGCTTCAATTTTGTGTATGAATCCAACTTCGTAGAATACTTTGTTCCGATTTTTGTATACACACTTTCTACCATCCAATATATGAAGGATTTTGTTTTTCACCTAAGGTCCCGACATAACTACCACCAAGATGGAGAGAATATATGATGACATGGTATCACCGTTGTATTATAAAACTCTAAATGGACAAAGTGAATCTTACTTGAATAATTATTGGTCTGCATAGGAGATGAGTAAATAATAATCTGTTTAAATAGACTAGGTAGTTATTGGTTTATATAGAATCTAAATTCTTATTTGTCTACATATTATTGGTTGCCATAAATATTTTTTCATCAAGATGAAAATTATACTCACAAGGGGAACCTTTGTTCACAATATCAGCAATCCTCCCAAAAGTAACGCAGGGACACCAGAATGTCAAGCAGCCTGCAAAACCAAAATCAGTGAAAATGAAAAATGAAGAACTGAAGCTGTAATCTAGTTTCAATGAGCATGCCAAACAGTGCAATAAGTATCCGAGAGAGCCTTGATCATATCGATAGATCTTGGGGAATTATTTATAATCATTGATCATTGAAATAATGAAATAAGCGGTAAAAATTTTCATATATCATCTCGTGATTTCATGAAAAAAAAATACGATTTGGATACTGAAATCTAACCCCCATAAAATAAGATTTTAACTTATAGCTATGGCAGTCCGACAAGCAGTCACAGAGATCAGTAGACCATTCATTTTCTTTTTGTTGATTCATTGTTGGGCTATGGGATTATGAACCCCAAAGATGGGATTATATAGGACATCTAGGAGAGGAACATGGCCACATTTTCAATGGTTTGTGAAATTCGTAGCAACGAAGACTTAAAACATCAACATCTACTCACATATATCCTTATCAATGTATATGGACGGTTATCTTTCGAACACATGTTTAAGTTTGAATAATCAACCGAGCATGTTATTACGGTCTACACTTCATCTCATCATCATGCAATCAAGTGTAGTAGGAAGGGACATCCTGTGTCTATTTCCGGGTACCAGTCACAGCAAGGCAGGCTACGGCAGTGGCGTTATCATTTAGACACATGGTATGTTCCCCAAGAATCTAAGGGTCAGTTTGGTACGTGAGTTTGGGAAAATTTTGGAACATTGGTTAGGGAATAAATCTCCTTCAACTCATATTTGACAACTATACATTTAGTGTAAAGTTTGAAACCCGATTTGGTCATGGCTGGGTGGGGGGGGGGGGGGGTATATGGGAGTTAATGAATTTAACAGTCAAATAACGTTTATACCCTCATATATCATATATATCCTATATATATAAATTAGTTAAGGGATACAATATTCATTTATATACAAATTTATTATCATAATAGTCATTTATCCCTGCGCATACTAAACATAAGTATGGACAACATTGAATGCTGAATCTCATCTCAGATATTTTCACCAAACCTATCACTCTATCCATTGTTCAGGACTCGGTTGTCAGGCTTGACTTAGTTAATATTTTTGTGCCTTGCTTGAGGGAGAATGTTAGAGTTATAGTCTAGTTTATTAGAGTTTCCTTTTTTTTTCTCTTTTTTACTTTTACTATTACTTTTTTATTTTTTCTAGACAAACTGAATATTCAGGTCATTATATATTATTATTTAATTATATATACTAGACTCTACTCTTAGTTTAAATATCTCTTTCACTCACAAATATATCAAGTGTCAGAGTCATCTCCTCTAAATGATTAAATAGTGTTAGATATCAACATGCTTTAGTGGTAAAAATTGTACTTCGTAAGCATGAAAGAAACTTTCAAACAAATGATTTGACTGGACCTACCTAGATGAGTACACACTCACAAAAACACCTGATCAAGTCAATGGGTAAAATGTTCATAAGTTTATATTCACGAATAAGAAATTTTTCGTGAAAAAAAAAAAAATTTGTGGAGGAAGTAGATGGTAAGTAGCCTAAGATTGAATCCCAAACTAAAACTTGCGATGTATCACTTTGCTGGATGTCGCATTCAGATCTTTTTATTACACATCACTCATTATGTATGCCTGTTACTTACTAATTGTAGTCGGGTCCCACTTGAAACTATGATACATGATCTACTAGTTATTAAAAATAAGCAAAATGTAATGGAAAATATCTTAATCTAATAATGCAATAAATGTTTATCTAGGTGTTATCTCATTAAAAAAATGTATTCTCTATTTTTGCAAAAGTTTTTCACAAGATGCATTGAAATATTAGACATCTGAATATATGGAAAGGGTCAGGAAGAAGGGAATGAGAACCATTTGAGTATGTGCGTCACGTTTGAGTTTGTAATCGTTTTTATACATGAAGAGGTAGGGCTGACCACCGGAATTTAATGGCTAAAATATTTGAGGAAATAGACTGAAAATAAGAAAAGGGCATGAAATTGCTATCAGATCAACATCACTCTGTCGAATTCGTTTGATCGTGCAAAAATCATACTTCACCAAAATTTTAAAAATTTTAATTTTGTACTTTCAAATATTGAATTTTTCTTATTACATTATCAATATATCAAAAGTCCGTTAACTTTCTTTACTTATTCCATTTAAAATTGCCCATTGAAATTGACGAAAGGAGTAATAGTACTTTGGTCCAAAAAATATTCAATTCTTGTCATTTTAATCTCCACATAAACAGACTTTAAGTTTTTAACAGAATGATTACAGGTTAAGTACGTGATACCATCTAAAACAATGACACCTGACCACTTCCGTCAAAAAATTTAACGGTTCGTCTATTTAGGGACCAAAATAACACAAATTGAATATTTTAGAGACCAAATTAATAAAATTGACACATTGAGAACTAAATTAACAAGAAATACATATTTTAGGGACGAAAAGTACTATTAATCCTTGACGACAGAGCAACAAAATATAATAGAAAGGTCACATTGCACATTTTTAAAACGTTGAAGATAAAATAGAGAAAATTTAATATTTATGAGTGTAAAGTAAAATAATTTAAATTGTTCGAGATATTAAGTGCAATTCGCCCTAATACTTAACACAGATTTCAGAATAAATATTAGTTTTAGTTGTGTTAAAACTCAATTGAATTAATCCTTAATTTCTTTTTCAAAACTCAACCTTATAGTTAGCTATTCCACGCTATGTCCATTTAAAACATTGAGTGAATCAATAGAAATTAGTGCTGGAAAAAAGAAAAAAAAAAGGGGGGGGGGGATTTTAAGGGAACCCCCTCCTCATGTACATCAAGATCAATTTTATCTAAGAAATTCACTTACTTACCCAAGAAAAAAAGACATTTGTTGAAACATTTCTTAAGGCTTTTCAATAGTTCTTCAACAATGTGGCCTTAGGAAAAACAAATGAGAAATTTGGTGGTAGATCCTCTAATCCACTTTTTATGACAATTATGTCTGACGAGTCCAATTTTAGATCAGACTTGAGCCTTATTTTGGCTTTGTTTTTGTCACTGGTTTTCAAGACTAAAATATATGGATGAAGTTCTGTTATTTTTCCTGGTATCATATGCATGTTTTTATGAACAGTATGATTACTTTATTTTCATTTGCTATGCAAGAAACTTTATTTGGTGACTTTCAAGACTATTTGCTTCTGATATTTATTCAGGAATATTAGCATGCCTTTAGATCATGTTTGCTTATGATATATGCATGTCAGATGTGAGAGAAGCATCACTACCAGAAGAAAAAAAAAAGTCCTTTTGCTTCACATTTATTTTTTTTTGTGTCAACATTTTGGCACTGCAAAAAAAGGCATTTTTGAGTTGGCAATGGAAGCCGATGCAAAAGATCCAATTTTTTTGCTTATGCAACGAAAGCTTATGCAAAAACCCAGTTTTTTGCATCGGTATGTAGGCTGAAGCAAATAGTCTTAGATAAAACGGCGTTGATTTGTTATTATATAAACAAAACGTCGTAGTATCAGCTAATAAAAAATATAACATGCTGTAATTGGACGTTGTTCCTTGGCATCCTTGCAGATCAATTGCCTCTTTCTCCCCCTCTCCCTCTCTCCCAATCTTGTGCTTCATGCTCTCTCTCAATCCCTCACCTTGTCAATTCTTGGGGTTTCAGATTCCTATGATTTTAAAATCGTTTCTAGTGTTTCCTTTTCAAATCGTTCAATTTCTAGATTTGAAACACTAAACTCTGCAGTTCTCTTGACACCTAGAGTTTCAAAAATAGATTTTAATTCGTTGAGATCAGAATTTCTTGCTAGATTCTAAGGTATAAATTTTAATTCTGTCATGTTCTAGCTTCAATCTAGGGATAAATTCTGATTATTTCATCTATGTAATTAGAATTTCTAGCTTTGAAAATCAATTTCTAGGGTTTTATGGAGCATTTCAAGTCATTATAGGATTTGTGAAAGCTATATCTATCTCTTCGAGCGTTTACCTGGATTCAGCATTATCGAGAAGTTTTGCGAATTTGAAGCTCACTGTAGTTTTTTCTCTGAAAAGTTTTGTTTTACTATTAATACATCAATACATAGTTGTAGTCTTGAACATAGAAATTGGCTAAAGAGCTAGCTTCCTTAAAAACTAATCTTGACTTGGCAATATTATGAGCTCTATGTGTGTGTGTACGCGCATGCGCACGTTCACACACTTTTTTGTATGTGGTCGTGTGTGCAACTATTAGGCAACAAGTTTGATGCTTAATTGCAATTTTTTTTTTTGCACATTCTATTTCGAAATTCTAAGGTAAAGAAATTGACATAACACATTTGAGTATTGGAAGAAAAATATCAGAA